AGTGGCCCGACTGTGACCAAAGTCTTCTTTCAAAGCCCACTCCTAGAGGTGGCCCCGTGGCTCAGACACACACTTGCCAGTTCTGGCCAGGCCAGTACCCCAACATCTCCAAGCCTCCTACGCCCTTCTGTCCCTCCTTAAAGGTACTCTTCAGTTCCTGCCACAACAGTAAAAAGTAAATGTGATGTTGACTGTAATGTTCTTAATAGGAACTGCATCTTACGTGAGTAAACATTGTAACCGTTAAGAAACAAACCATAGAGTTAAAATGACCATAATATATTTTTTAAAGTAGCCTCTCCTGGTAAGTACTGTGTTGTTCATAATCTCATTGTAATAATAATCTAAAAATTTCCTGGAAATCAAACCTACACAGTTAAAAAATGTATCAGGGAAAACGTTTTTGATATTACACTCTGGAATTCAAATGATGATAAAAGAGGGTGAGAAATTATTATGTAAGTAAATAGAGAGTAAAGAAAAACTACATTGTGGAATCCAACATCTATCCATCTATCTGTCTGTTTATCACTGTAAAATTCATTTATCTTGACTGCATGCCTGAAATTTTTCATAATAAAATATAGGGAAAAGTGTGACATCCGAAACAATGCATAGCTGCCTACAGCTAGATTAACATTACTGTACAAGGTATTAGAATAGAAAACAAAGGAAGTGCCACAAATTACCTGGGGAAAGGCCAGTGACTCAGTATACAATGGTGGGGGATTTATTATATGAAAAAAAAAAACCTTCTGGATTTTTGCTTCAGAGTTCCCTTTTAATTTGCTGAGTTTAATGTAAAACATACAGATTTTTACATTAGATGAAGGGGGCAGGGGATATAGCTCAGCAGCGCAAGTGCCTGCTGGGCAAGCGCAAGGTCCTGAATTCGATTCCCGGTACCAAAACAAAACAAACAAATAAATTAGATGTATACTGTCTACCTTCGGAAAAAATTTCCAAGTCCACGGTAATAGGTTTGGGCTATGGGTAGAAAATCACTTACTGAACAAAGAAATCTAAAGGTTCTAGATCTTAAGAAGTCGTAAATAAAATTGAAAGTCAAAGAAGCTGGAAAGAGTATCTGGCCCAAGCATTTTATATACACACACACTCTTACAAATTGTATTAAATAATCATACTCCAGGAGAAAAATCTGATGATGAAATGGACAGTACATTGAAAAAGAAAACAGTGGATTCATAAATACACGAGGAAAGTTAACCTTTACTGGTAGGAATTTTAAAACACCATTAGCCTAACCCAAGAGGGCATTCAATAACAGCTGCCCAGTAATTCAACTAAAAAAACCCAGCATTTTTGTGTAAAGATTTAAAAAATAGTGATGGTAAAGAGATGATTAAAAGGATACATTATGCCTTTCACACTACACACATTATTAACATAAAGAATCTATGACAAGGGAATCATAAAACAAATGCCAAATATTCATGTACTTAAAGGGATAATTATCATAGCATAAAAGTATTTTTTATAAAATAGTGAAAAACAGTGAATATAATACACCATTACAGATGTTTTTCAGACATTTGTAAGAATATGGAGAAAATGCTCATTTAAAAGTAGAATATAAAGCCAAGTGTGGTGGTCCTCACCTATAATCCCAGCACTCAGGAGGCAGAGGCAAGAGGATCACAAGTTTGAGGTCAACCTGGGCTATATCAAGAGATCTTTTCTCAAAACACAAAAAATTAATAGAAAATGGGATACAAAAGAGCCTACACAGAATACCGCTCCTTCTGCAACTAGTGTGCATGCCTATGTAACAGTAACAGAGAGACTGCTATTTCTTCTTTACATGTAAAGTCTAATAAAAAGTAGTATAAAATGAGTTAAATGGTGGGGGGGGCAGGGGGCGCAGGTCAAAGGGTACAGACTTTCAGTGATATGGGTGAATAAATGGAAAGTACAGCATGAAGACACCAACTAGCCCCGTACTTCATACTGGGAATTTCCTTGAGAGAGATTTTAGTTGCTCTTACACACATTAGTAAATAGGCATATGTCTGCCAAAATGTATTAGAAACCTTAAATATATACACAGTAAACAAAAATGTTTCACTACAAATAATTTTAGGGAAAAAAACTACTATACACAACCATTGGAAACAGGTCTTCACTAAGGCAAGACCACCTTTGGAATGGCGGTAGCTAATCAAATTCTAAGATCCACACCTATTCAAACTGACTTCCCACTAGCCCTGCCTCCCACATCCCTGCTTTGCCTGGGTGTATTCTAATGCGTTCAAACGCCACCCTGCCTTCCCTACAAGCTTGCATCTCTTCTGGCTTCGCATGTGCTGGTGGGTAACACCCCTGCAGCAGACGCCTCACACTCTGCCCTTTCCCTTCCCTCGCCTCCCCACTCTCACTAGCATCCATTACTGCTGGTGTCAGTGCTGCTCTGCTGGACCGATCCAAGCTTTCCCTCTGGTCTCCTCACCATGCCTGACCTATCCTCACCCCTGCACCCCTGCAACTCACTGTCTTCACTGTAGCCCAAATGATCTTTCTGAAGTGTACATCTCACCTTGTCACCCTCCGGGGTAGAAACCTTAGGCAACCATGGCAGGGACGTCAGACTTGTGTTAATGGCTCTCCGCTAGCTCCTGCTCTCTTCACTCCTTTCCCGCGTCCCACTGATACACCCAGTTGACACCCTTGTACACTCGCTCCTTCTCCCTGGACTTCTCCCTGGCTGTGCCAGGCTTGTGTCACGAGCCCCTACTGTATGCTGCTTTTATGTCCCCAAGTCACTAATCTCACACTGTGATTCTGGTTTTGTATTTACGCCTCCTCTACCAGGACCTAGCAGAGTACAGGCCCTTCAGAGTTTGCTGAAAGAATTAATATATAAATGTTTCTGCCATCTAAAACAGTTACCTATTCTCCTTTTGAAAGACAGATTAAGCAGATTTTGTAATTTCCCTCTACTAGTCACTCAATTACTTTATCATTCTGGCAACTGAGACAGTCCTTCTTATCTATTAATCATCCAACAAATTTATTAATTGTATTCCTTCTGTTATGACAGTATCTCTTTAGTTGTATCTGAATCTATTTACTTCTGGTGAGTCTATCACAAAAGCATTACTAATATGTCTAAACACAACAGTCAATGAAAGTTTTCCAAGTTACTAAAGACAGGCACTCCAGATCCCAGGGATGTAAGGACAAATCGGAGGTTATTAGTTAAGGACCATCTGTCTGCAAGGAATCCTCCAGCCTTTTTCAAACTAAAACCCTCAGTTACTTTATCTTTTCCTAGAAGGGTGTGCAGTATCTGTTGCTGTGTGCAGTTGCCCAGCATCTCCTTTCCAAATGTGATTCAAACTGGACAGAACAAGTCTGACTAACGTCTTACTTTCTTACCTTTTATGTGTATTCTCCCTTTAATACACCCAAGAATCATGTCAGTTTTGTTACTGTAACAGCCTCTTAGTACTGACTTATATTTAGCTGATGAGCAGTAAGGGCTATATATCTTCTAAAACCAGTTTTTCTTTTAAACTCAACCACCTTTTTTTAAAATAAAGTCTGTCACCAAATTTCTTCTGCTAAAGCAGAATTCTTTCTCCAGTTTGTTGTAATTATTATGAATTACATCTCAGAAGTTCAGACGATTTGCAGTCCTATCCAATTTCGTAACACACACACACACACACACACACACACACACACACACGGAAAAGCAAAATGAAAGTGATTTCATAGTTTTATATTGTGTAAAAGGCATAGGCAAAACTAGGTCTGAGGAAAACTTCCAGTGGCTCACATGGGTCTGTAACTTTCTACCTAAACTCACAATTCCTTTACAACTACTGTATGTGTGATTAAATGCTGAGGGATTCTAGACTATCAATTTGGAGCTTCTGATAATATTAACTATTCTCTGTATTTATTTAGCATTAGTCATGTATTTTCTCTGCCCTTTGTCCTTTTCTCTGGCTTTATACCCACCCCTAACAACCAGAGGATGATTTCTTTTGACCTGGATGCTCCCCCTCCTAACACCAGCGCTCTGGAAAGCTAAAGAACAGCAAAATTAAAACAGGGTCTCAGTCCAGGTCAGCTTCCTTCACCACTGGCATTAAGAGAGCTTCATTGGTTCACTGGGTCTGTGAGTGCCCCCAAAATGCAGGCAAATGTTTGCGTAGGAGTGTGGTAAAAGGATCCATGGCTTCTACTGTAATCTCAGAAGGGCTGAGCGCCCTGAACAGGTTAAGAAGGCCAGGTCAAAGGCATTTGGATATAACATGGTAACTGAATAAATAGTGACAGTGTGAGAGACTCAGCCTTCCACTCAGTCACCTTGAAAGAGAATGAAAAATTCTATAGTAATTATACATATCAAGCATCTTTTGCAGTAAGAACGAACATAATTTGAGGGTGTGCTATGGGGTAGGGGGTGTTTTCCCAGACATGTGACATTACACAGAGGCACTTCTAGCACTTCAAGTATCCTATCTTTCCGCAGTTTCTGCTTTTATCCAAGTTCAATATATTTTGTATGCCCTTTTCCGAAGCTTATTTGCTAACATCGGTCGAAAAGCAAAACACTCTAAATCCCAAGTATCTCTGCATATAAATACTGCTTTACTAGTCCAAAACACATGCCTTCCATTAACTGTTAGTAATTACGATTTTTGCTAATATGTAGGTATTGTTCCTACTTGTGTTTTAAATAACATTACCAAAAAATCATTCAGTAAATCAAAACTCACCCTGTCTTATCAACAAGCCTCAAAAATATATTTGTCAAAATAAATTATAATTCTTAATGTTCACAGCTGTGATAGGTTATGTTATCTTATATAATTATTATTGTACCTAGAGTATTTTCTACCACTAAATGGGATATGTATTATAAATGTACCAGGCAAAAAAATCTCCTTAAAGCTTTCCTTAGACAAAATGCCATTTAGGAATTAAACAAGAACCAATAAATGTCAGAAAAGTCTGTCCCACGTACTCACGGTTGAACAGTCACCAAAAGGATCCCCAAGTGCAGGCTGGACATGTCCTAGAAGTGGAGATGAATTCCATTAGAAGGACAAGCCGTAGAAAAACACCTAGTGCCAACGCTACCTTTCTCCAGCCCATCTTAATTGCAGGCACACTGATTTCGGAATCCTCCAGCACTAACAATAGAAACCACACTAGGTTGTTTTCCTAATTCCTATGAAATGAGTCAGTAGGTCAAACAACTTACCCACTTTGGAGAGAGAACAACTCTTTCAACTATCCTCCATTTCCAGTAACCCTCCTTTCGTTCTCTGCCACTAGATCAAAGTGCACCCCATAATTCACCAAGAACCTACCAGCTTCTAAAGGATACTCATCATGGATAATGCCAGAGTCAAGTCTTCTCGAGGGGACAGTTTTCCTTCTTCTCAGGAGGAAAACATTCCATTTAGAAGTGACATGCAGATGAAATTTTTCCTCTTAAAAAGAATCAGCACAACTTCTTTTCTGTGGAGACCAGCTAGTCACTTCTTTCTTTCACGTAAGAGGATGAGTGATGCTTAAAATATAGAAAAGCAGTAACTACTCTTCCAAAAGCCCCTGACAAACCACTTCCTCCTGTAAAATACCTTTTCCTCCTCAAAAGATCTAGTAGTCAAAAGATTCAATGATTACTCAATTAATCCATGTTCTTAAAAAACCCTCAGGGTCTTCTGTGGTCCCGCCGCTCCATCCACTGTGTTATATAAAGCAGAAGTGTGTAAAAGCTTGCTAGCAGTCTTTTAAATCCATGACTCAAGATGATGAACACTAGTTTAGCAATAATCTTCAGAAACTACCACCTACTCACCGAGGATAACATGTCTCACAGTTAGCGACCTTCTGCATAGGAAATCACCAGCTACTGGCAATGAATCCATAATTCCAAGAACTCACTCATGCAGGCAAATATAGGGACATACGGCTCTAAGTAGAGGTAGAAAGATCTGCTGTGACAGTTCTTTGGGAGAAGACTGGAAATACTTTTGCTTTCTGTATCGACAGTACTTTCTTTCTTTTTAAAGACAAGGTTTCATTTTGATCTTGAGAAATTCTGTGTGATTGAACCACCAACTGAAAACCTGCCATTATAAATGAGGGATTTCACAATTCTCATTCCCCAAAAATGTGGCTATTCATTTTTGGAAGTGATTCACTGCAAAAGAATCATTGTTGGGGGTGAAGGGAGCATTAATTTTTGGGAGACAGCCTGCTCTCTGAGAAGTGGGTAGAAACCTCACACACGGCCGCCATGCGCCTTGCAGACCCCAGTGCAGCTCCCCACATCATCCTCCCTGGAGACTGTGAACAGTTTCCTCTTGTAGTTCCCTCAGGTGACGAAACCTCCTTGGTCTCCGCACCCTGCCTTGAGTCCCCTGCTCTGACGGCCATTGTCATAAATTCAAAGGGCGGTAGCAGCATTCTCCACCTGTCAGCACTCAGTGGCTGGTGAGTAACCAGCATATGGAGACCCACTTCCTGTGAGTATTTCCAAAAGACCTTATGCTATTTCCTTCAAAAAAAAAAAAAAAAGCCAGTGGGGAGAAAAGAAAGCTACTCAGGGAGAAGCAACTCTGCAAGCAAAGCTAAGAGCATGCAATGTGATCACTGTTTACCAGACACGCCTAGTTTTAATTTGGTTTCTTAACCCCTGTGTAATTAACACAGCCAAAGAGAACAGAATCGGGAGGGGGGAAAAATAAAAGACATTTCACAAATGCTTAGACCTTCTGTGCGCGTGACTAGAAAAGTAATTTTAAGATTCAAGTGAACTGATGTGAAGCTTGTCAGAGCATTAACCCTTCCAGGAAAGAGAAAGTTGTTTTTGTTTGTCCTCAAATTTCGAATATGGAAATCGTCTTCTCTACCAGACATCCTAAAAATGCAGCGGCTGTTGCCACCCCTTGAGATATTAAGAAGAAAGCACTTTTTCAGATCTGTCTGACAGGACAGGGCAGAATACTTATTTCTAAGACACGGTCATACTAACAGAGCAGCTCACGCAGTGTCCATACCAAGGTGCCCTTGGAAACTGGCCAGTAAGGGCCCAAATATGACCTTTGGTGTTTCTCTTGGCTTTAGCCAAACTCATTATTTTATGTCATAGAAAGAGTAGAATTTCTCAACGCCTGGGAAAAACAGGTAAGAAAAATTGCTTTTATTTCCCCATAAATAAAGAGTATCAAAGGTGACAGAATCATTTTCTGAAGAGACTAGCAGACAGTTTGCTAAAAAGGCAGCTTTTATAAGGCCTGTCCTTTATTGTCAAGTGTCAGCGTATTTCCCTCTTGGCTAGGAAGGGTGGGGCGGGAGAGCTCATGGGGGGTGAGTCTGGTATGAGGACTGAACCCAGGGCCTTAGCAGGCTATATGCCTAGCTCTTTTTTCAAAGTTCTAAGGCAGGATCTCACTAAACTGCCAGGCAGGACATGAACTTGTGATCCTCCTGCATCAGCCTCCCAAGTGCTGGGTTTACAGATGTGCCACTATGCCTGGCTATAAACTTATACAGTGATACCTCAATTCATGAACGTGATTCTTTCTACAATTCTGATTGCAAACCAAGCTGGACGAGAACCAAATCAAATTCAGTGTTTAGGGTCAATGTTGACCTTATGGGGCAACTTGATTCCGTTCTCATCCAGTTTGGTTTGTGACCAGAATTGTGGAGAGTATTGAGTTCGTGAACCGAGATACTTAAGGGCAGCTGAAGAATAAAAGTAAAACAAATTCATACCTGTTTTTGTTACACAGCACCTTTAAGCTCTTAATTTATAACCTGGGAACACTTAACTCTTATACCCCAACCCCTTTATTTTTCATTTTTGAATATTCAAGGCAAGTATGAAGAATATACATAAATATATAATAAAACTTTTATACTCCTGAAGTAAATTTTCACTTATGTTAAATGTTTTGTAACCTTTACGAAAATAATTTTTCAAAAAAGGGTATGGAAACCATCTGCATGATATAAATATAATTTTCAAACTGAGGATGAGCAAAAACAGCATCTCTAACTGGAGGTGAGAATTTAAACTATGCCACAGTACACTCATCTTCCCTGCCTCCTCACCCTGGAGACTTTGGGAATCTCAACAAAAAGGAGTATTTTCCTATACAGTTCTCAGAGAATAAGAACCTTTTATGTGCAAAGTAATTTAAGTGTTTACAATTTTTAAAAAATTCTATTGATACTGACCTTCCTGGAAGAGAAAGCACCCTGATGCTAGGGCCCTGATAACCCCCCCAGTAATTCTGAAAGTCCAATTTCCTCTTTTACTAACAGGAAGCTTCCAATCCCATGGCATCCCAAGTCCACCATGCTCAGCTCTGAAGCCCTCTGTGCGGCCGGTGCCGTCTCACACGGCTTCCCAGGAAAATGCCTCTCCCCCCGGGGGCCCAATGCAGGGGGTTTACAGGGAAAAAGGAAAAGAAGAGCGAAACAAGATCGTGAAATAGAAACTCGGGGTGAAATCACAGAGAACACGGACCTAACATGCGGCAGCTGCAAAGACGCAGCCATCCTCTAGGAATGAAGGTCTGCTAATTCGGGGGCCGCTTCTTTGCATGTGATGAAAATCCAGGGACTCGGCAGGTTTTGCAGGCCTTTAGGGCTATGCTGTAGATATTGTTCAAGTGCACAGAAGTCCACCCTCCCCAAACAAAATAAAACCTTGAGAAAATATGTTTAACACCAGCTCAAAGATTTCTTCTAAAAAATAGAAAGGAGTGCACTATTTTGTGGCATGTCTATAGCGAGGAGAAGGCACTGACTTTACTTCTGAATGGCACCGGACTCAGGGAGGTCTGAAGGCCAGTGTACAGGTTCTGGCTCTTCCTTTTGCTGATCTGCTCTTGTGCAGATCACCCAACCTTCTTAAGACAGTTTAACCACCAGTGGTAACAGCAGCCCGACATGCAGGGCTAGCTCAGCCATTACTTCACAGTCGCAGCAATCCTACAGGTAAGTTCTACTGTTATCACCATCCTACAGATAAGGAAACGGAGGCCCAGGGAGCTTAAGGCCACTAGGTTTACACAGTCACTAGGTGGGGGAACCTGGACTCAAAGCCAGGGAGCTTGACCTTGACCAATACGCTGCAGAGCCTGCCATCAGCATGCCTGCCAGTCACACTAAGTAACACCGCACTTAGCAAACTGCCTTAAGCTATAGGAAAGGCAGATTTTTAAACGTATCATATAATACATTCACTTTCTGCAAAATTTAAGGAAAATTCATGACAAGTAAGTACTAGTAACTCCAAAATTACCCCATTACTTTGTCCTCTAAGGATAATTTACAAACTATTTATTTGCAAAATCTGTGATACTGAATTTTCCAGGCAGAAGGGATTCAGAGATCCTATTTTCAAAGTGAGCATAAAGCTCGAGGTTGGCTCTGGACCTGCAGACTGAACTGTCGCTGTGTAGCTCCCAGCCCAAGGAACATGGCCGTGTCACAACCCGTCAGTGGGTACAAAAGCACTGGGAACTGCAAAGCACGTCGCAGATGTTCCAGTCCGTCAGGCATTCTGCCATGCTGTAATGTGAGTCTTCAGAAATGAGAGTTATAATTTCTTTCCCCAGTATAAATCCTTTAGGTTTTAAAATGAAAAGAATGAGGAAAAAAAAATTTTTTCCCCTCTCTATTTTCTTATTCAAGGAAAAAAACAAAGCCTCAAAGTTCTGCCTCTGATGAACACAACTGAAGTTTGTGTGATTCTCCGTTTTCTCCTCTAACTTGTTCATATACGTCCTCTCTGATGTTAGGGCAAGTTGTCTTTCGCAAGTGCTGATAGAGTAAGGGTAAAAAACCTGCCTACAGTGGCAGCACAGGGACTTCCTTGGCCTCAGTGGCCCATCAGACTTCAAGGAAAAGGTCATTTCTTATTTCGGTTCTGTAAGCCTTTCAATACTATTTACTCTACACTTGTGTCTGGCTTTATTACTTTCACTTAGAATATTTCTTGGCAGGAGTGCAGCTCAGGAGTAGGGCACTTACCTAGTGTGTATGCAG